AACATGGATGAATCTAAAATTAATTACACGAATGAAATAAACTTCTGTGTGTTTCCGATTACATAAAATTCTGGAAAGAAAGCAGATCAGTAGTTGCCGGAGTACTGGGATTTGGGACAGGAAGGAGGGATGACGAAGGGGCATGAGGACATTTTTGGGAGTGATCATATATTCATGATCTTCATTGTGGCGATAGATTTACAGGGGTACACATAAGTTAAAATTATCAAATTGTACATTTTAAACATGTGCAGACTGTTGCATGTCAATTATACCCTAATAAAGCTATAAAGTAGATGTGATAGACAGACAGATGAGGGTGGCCTTTTAAGGTGAATGAGAGAAGAAAGGAGATCCAGCCGAGTGATTTAGAAACAGCTGTGTTGGGGTCTGGGGAGACAGGCAGAGTGTACACTGTGGATGTCTGCACCACAGTGCAGAGGGGTGTTTTTAGAGGGCAGCCCTGATAAGAGGCCTGCTAGTGTTGAGGAGATGGGCAAGGATGAGACCTGAGTCCCACCCCATACTAATTCCCCATCTGCAGCAAAGGTCTGTTTTTGACCCCTCTGCAACAGAGAGCCTGAAATGGTTAAAAGGCTGAGACAGCCCTGGGTTCATGTATTAGCTCTGCTCCTTTCTGTTTGTTTGTTTTTTGAGACAGGGTCTCACTCTGCCACCCAGGAGGGAGTGTAGTGGCATGATCATGGCTCACTGCAGCCTTGACCTCCTGGATTCAAGCGATCCTCCCACCCCAGCCTCCTGAGTAGCGGGGGCCACAGGCGTGTACTACCACGCCCAGCTAATTTTTTTATTTTTAATAGAGATGGGTCTCGCTATATTGCCCAGGCTGATCTCAGACTCCTGGGTTCAAGTGATCCTTCTACTTCAGCCTCCCAAAGTGTGGGGATTATAGGCATGAGCCATTGTGACTGGCCTGACTCTGCTCCTTTTGAACTTTGTGGACTTCGCAGGTGAAGCACCCTTTCTGAGCCTCAGTTTTCTCATCTGTAAAATGGGGAGGTACAGAGTGCTTAGCAAACTGTGTGGCACACAGTAGACACTGAATAGTAGTTTATTTGATTTTTTTTGATACAGTAGTTAAGAGATTAAGAGCTGGGACTCTGGAGTCAGGCCAACCCAATTTTAAATCCCAGATAATCGACTTTGAGCAGGTGACGTAAAATCTCTGAGTTTCATCTCCTCCTCTACAACCTGAAGACGATACACATGCATTGGTTAGGAGCCTGGACGGAAGCAGAGGGCACACTCAACTGGGGAATTTGAGGAGAGTTTAACATAGAGATTATTTGCACAGGTGTGGGCAGAATTTAGGACGATCAACAGGGTAGAGTGCAATACCTGGGCTGGCAAAGGGAGGCGCTGTTACCAGCCCTGGGCTTGGCAGGACTAGAAGGGTCAATTTTCAGTTGCCGAACCTGGAAAGGGGAGCTGTATGGAGAAGGTCACCCAACAGGAGATGTGGAATTTGGAAGAGGCACAGCCAGCCCACGGCAACATAGAAACCTGGGGGACAAGTGTCCCAAACTCATTGTCTTCCTTCCACCCATCTCCTGCCAGTGCCTCTTCTCCCCTTAGGTAAACCCAACTGCAGTAGGGGCTGGAGGGCATGGGAGTCCACTGGAACAGCTCAGCCCCAAAGGGTCAGAGCAGGAGGAAGAAAGGATGCATGGGCCTAGGGGGCGAAAAGATGAAATTCAATCAGTAAAGGTCCAATCTCATGGGATTAATAGTAACTCCTGAGTAATCAAAGAGATTATGTTAATAAAGCATTCAGCACACAGTGAGGCTCCTCTAAGTGACAGCAGCCCATGGTTATCCGTGAAGCAGCTCTAGCTAGATTCTCAGGGTGGCTGCCAGGCCAGCCTCGACCCAACCCACAGTGCTGGGAATGGAACAGAGCTGATCTTCTCCTACATTCCGTGTTTACTTAGGGAAAACTTGGCTGCTTAGAGCCAGAAGAGGTTGACTGTGGTTTTCTGCAACAGCTGGGGGTGAGGGGAGGCAGAGAGAGGGGAGCTGGAACATATTAGGACTCCTAAACGCCAAGAGACCCCAGAGCCCGGGAATCTGAGAAGAGTCCACACACACAACGGCATTTACTTGCTGTCTCTCTGCCAAGGGATTGTGGATTTCGGGGCTGAGCGGTGTGTCCTGGGACCTCGTCCCCAGGAGGCAGGGCCACAGGGCTGCACCCAGTGCCGGCTATGTGGAATGTGCCGCTCTTGGAAGCAACCGAGGCTCTTGCTTTTTAAAATTGGCCTGTAAATCTCCGTATAGTTTTCAGGGTTTAGGAATTTTATTTTATCTGGATTAAAGTCATGTTCTGCTTTGGCATCGGAAGGCGTTTATGACTGTTAAAACAAGAAATGAAAAATATAGGCTTGGAATCAGAGAGGCTGCCTCCTGCCAGACTTTTAGGGGTTTGTCTTGGGGGCCAGGCTGAAGGTTTTCTGCCCCTTCTCTGACTGCCCTGGTGTTTCTTGATAAAGCTGGGGCTGCCTGAATCTGAGCAGCAAACGCAATAGCCTGGGAGGGTCTGTTAGGAAGGAAACCTGTATCTTTGCTTAGGTGAGCTCTGTCATTCTCTGTTTTCCCCCTCTAGGGAAATGCACACTCTCTAGAGGATTGTTTAAGGGTTTTCTCACATTGCCGGCCCCCGGCCGCGCTTGGTCTAGGAGGCAGATAGCTTAGGACTTTTGATTCATCAGGGCTTGGGATGACTTTGAATTCCCCCAAATTGCCATTTGGGGCAGGATTTAAATAACTGAGATTCCAGCTTTCTTTGGCCTAGTTTTGCCATTTTTCTCTACTCCCTCTTGCTTTTAAAGCACACATGCATTGAGTGTGAACACACATGCGTATACACACACACGCACACGCAGTTTCTTTCCTAATGGTACAAGTTATACATGGTTCATGGAGAATACTTGGAAAGCAAAGGAAAGCACCAAGTGGGGGACGGCAAGGAGCTGGAAAGCAAAAAAATCACAAGAGAAACTACTCAACATTTGGGCAAAAATTGTTCTAATATTTTTCCTCCTATCTGTTTATCATCTACCTATCCTTCTTTATTATTATTATTATTATTATTATTATTGAGACAGAGTCTCGCTCTGTTGCCCAGGCTGGAGTGCAGTGGTGTGATCTTGGCTCACTGCAACCTCTGCCTTCGGGGTTCAAGTGATTCTCCTACCTCAGCCTCCCAAGTAGATGGGACTACAGGCATGCGCCATCACACCCAGCTAATTTTTGTATTTTTGGTAGAGACAGAGTTTCACCACGTTGGCCAGGCTAGTCTCAAACTCCTGACCTCAAGTGATCAACCCACCTCAGCCTCCCAAAGTGCTGAGATTACAGGCGTGAACCACTGTGCCTGACCTTCTTATCCTTTTTTAAAAAGTATCACAGATTACATGCAATTTTGTTGCCTGAATTTATACTTTTCCATATTTACAGATAATGTAGTTTATGATGATAATAACAACTAGTACTTATTACACACTGAAGTTCAGTGCTTAATTCATAGCCTTTGTAGTCAGAGAGATCTGGGTTCAAATCTCAGTAGGATTCATTTTTCATTGTGTCTTTGGGCAAATGACTTAACTTGGAGGAGCCTGAGTTTTTCTGTAAAATGGATAAAAATATTATCCACCTCAGAGGGGGGATTGCTGTGAGGATCAAATAGAATTCTGCCAAATAAAGAAAAGCCTGGGAAAGGCTTAGGTCCATAGTAAGTGTTCAATAAATTACAGTTCATATTCTCACCGCATGTGCGGTGGTGATGTATGTAGGACATTTGTCTGTGTTTTTCTTTTTCGTGATGGTGCTATGCGCAGCATTCTCTCTAAACCAGAACTTTGGGCACCGCAGTATTTGATTCACGGTAAGCAGCTAGATGATTTTAAACTTCTTTCTTCCCCCAAGAACACTCGACAAAATTGGCAGCCTGTAATATGCAAAAATCCACCCAGAAATGGAAGAGAGGGACATTTGCACAAGCTGGGTTGTGTCTACAGAATTAGAAGACACAGTTGGACTAATTTTAGTGCCTAAAAATTGGAAACATTGGAATCATGCTCTATGGGAAATGCAAGTTCTTGAAAGTGGCAAAAGGAAACACCAGGAATGGGTGCATTTGGGACCATTCTCTCAAGATCTGGGCTCAGTCTTCATCTGTGGGTAGGTTCAATGGGGCTGGAAGCTAAAGGTTAGGTGGGGGAAAGGGTTAAGCATCTTTCAAGTCCTCAGGTTAGGAATGAGCGAGAGATCTCGTTCACATTGCCTCTTCATTGTCTTGATTTTCCCAGCTATCTGCTTTCCTTTGTCTTGCCATAGATAATTTTGATCCTGTGACCAGCCTCTTTGGTGTTTTGTCCTTCGGGATTTCTGAGAGGCGCGGGCCCCTGTGATTGACCTCACGTGGGCAGACTGCACACAACTCACTTTGTATCTGAGGAGCAGAGTGGGGGCCTAGCTCCCTTGCGTGCAGCCAATCAAGCCGGGGCTGAGAATTTATGAGATGAAGGCGAACCACTTTGAAGAAAGGCGCCCTTGTCTGCAGCTCCGCCATTGCTCCGTGGTACGCGTGGGGAGGTGGAGAGGGGTGGGCACGGGGAGAGGGGCTGGCGCCCTGGGGATGGATAGGGGAAGAAAAGAATCCGAGAAACCAGGGTTAAAAGTCTTTCTGTGAACAGGAAAGAAAACTGAGCAGCCTGCCTTCCTCCTTGCAGGTGTGTGCTCACAATGGGGGAGCCACAGACCCTTCCCAAAGGTCAGGGAGGAAGGAGTGCATCGCAGACGCTGCCTCTATTCACTCCCAGTCCTCCCACTCCTTGGAGACTGAAGAACCAGAGAGAGCCAGGAAGGCAAGATCACTTGTAGAAGCAATCCTGGCCGCCAGTAATCTAGATGCAATAGTAACTCCGCCAAGTCAGAGGCATAGCTGCAAATTCTGGGCTTCTCCCCGGGGAGGGCAATTGCTTCATTTCTCTGAGCATCAGTTTCCTCATCTGTGAAAAGGGGTGGTTAACAACAGAACCGCCTTCCTCCTTCATCGGGTTGTTGGGAGAAATGTGTAGAAAGCAGTCAGCACAGGACCTGGTATACAGTAAGTGCTGAATAAGTAGAAGCTACTATTAATAGCAATCATACCTGGTTTCAAAAGAGATCATCTGCTTTCATTAAAGCCAAAAATAAAGGCCATTTATTCAGCCGTTTTTTCATTCATTTGTTCAGGCAATCAAAAAACATTTATCAGGCCCTACTATGTGCTGGTGACTTGAATGAAGATGATAATAACAGTAGCTAACACTTGCTTGCTAGGTGTTAGGCTCTGTTTTATTTTTATTTTTTGGGACAGTCTCACTCTGTCACCCAGGCTGGAGTATAGTGATGCAATCATAGCTCATTGCAGCCTCAACCTCCCAGGCTCAAGCAATCCTCCCACCTCAGCCTCTGGACTACAGGCACACGCCACCATGCTTGGCTAATCTTCTCTGTTTTTTTTGTAGAGGTGAGGTCTCACTATATTGCCCAGGCTGGTCTCAAACTCCTGAGCTCAAACAATCCTCTGAAAATGCTGGGATGAGCCGCCACACCTGGCCCCTGTTTGTCTCTGTTTTAAATCCTCCATATGTCTTTTTTTTTTTCCTCCTTCTTCCCGCAGCCAAGATGTCTTAATTTATATAAATTTCATGATCACATGGTAAGGTAGGTACATGTCACACAGCTAGTAAGATTAGGAGCTGGGATTTAAACCCAGGTATGCCTACTGGCCAGGTCTATGTGGTAAGCATCTTGCTAGTCCAAAACTAATAAATAAAACATGATTCCTGCCCCCTAGGGCACCACTGTCCACTGCAACTTTCTGCAATTATAGAAATATTCCATATCTGCAGTGTCCAATATGGTACCCACTGTTGGTAGCTGCTGAGGACTTAAAATGCGGCTAGTGTGATAGAGAAACCGAATTTGAAATTTCATGTCATTTGCACTAATTTCAACATACAGTTAAATAGCCACGCATGGCTAACGCCAGCAAATCGAACAGCCTAGCTCTAGGAACTGAGAGTCTAGTGGAGGAAATTCACCTTCACGAAGGCGGTGAGTGTTACACGCTATGTGGCCCTGTCTGAGCTCCAAGGACACAGAAGATCACAGCTGTGGTGTGGAGTGTGGCCTGGGATCACAGGAGGCTTCCCAGAGACAGTCATCTCTGATCTGAGTCTACAGGAAGGAGGCGTTGGTAGGAGAGGAAGGGAGGTATTTTTAAATATGTCCAAATATGTTGGATTTCACAACAGGGTCCGTGCTCAGCCAGGACTTAGGCAGAGTTTGAAATTCATAATCAAGAGCCAGAGACCTCTTTGAGCTTTAAGATAACCAGTGCTTACCCCTGAAGGATGAAACCGTATTGGATTCAGGAATTTGTCTACTGTTCTTTTTGGCGGCAGGTATTGCTTTTTTTGGCTTTTAACCTCTCTGAGGACGTAAAAACACCTGAAAAGGAAATCTGAAAAATTCACTGGTTCGTCTGAATGCTTTGTCAATACCATGTGAAGCTAAATATCCAAGAGCCCCAAAGCAGCTCTAGGCAGTCAAAAGAGTAGTACTAATTATAAGGATAATAAGGATAATAATGAAAAACAGTTACCACTTATTAAGACACTTACTTTGTGCCAGACCCAACGTTAAGTGCTTTTGTGTATTGATCGTCTCACATACTCCTACGATCTATTCTCTGCACAGCAGCTAGAGTGGCCTTTTTGAGACATAAACCCTAAATCAGATCATGCTAGTCCGCTGCTGAAACCCCTTAAGTGGCTTCACATTGTACTTAGAATAAAATCCAAGTTCCTTGCCCAGGCCTGCAAGGCCTGACCCCTGCCTACAGATGCTCCCATTCTCCACCTACTCACCAAGCTCCAGGCACGTAAGACCCATCTCTGGTGTAAAGCCCTAAGCTTTTGTCTGCCCCAGGGCCTTTGCACTTGCTGTTCCTCCAATTAGCAACTCAACTCCCCACTCTAACCCTGTATTAGAATGAAATATGTCAAAGATCAGGGACCTTGTCTCTTAAGTCACTATTGCATCTTCAGCCCCTAGTCAATTTGTCATACCATTGAAAGAATTCAAATTCTATGTTATGAGGCATTGAAATCAATCAAATTAAGTAAAATTTAAAATTCAGTATGAGGTATTATGGAGCATTATTATCCTCATGTAACAGATGAAGAAATTGAAGATCAGAGTGGTTAATTTGCTCAAAACCATGTAGCTTGTGAGTTTCCCACTATATACCTGTAGGACTCCAACTGTTTGCTCCTTGTCAGCTGTGATGAGGCTGCACAGCCACCTTGAGAGAAGGAAGACCCTTCAGGATGTGGTTTTCCTTCCCTCGCTCTGCAAACAGCCCTGCTATGCCTCACTTAGTCCTTTATTGCCAGAATCTGTCTATATAATAAGAAACCTTAGCTTGCAAAATTACCCAATTCCCTTCTGGTTTTGACCATATATTTTTCTTTGATTATAAAATGAGTATTATAGAAAGAATGGAAAGTAGAGAAAAAAGATAAAGAAGCTGGGGAAAACTACTTATGATCTCACTACACAGAAGCAATTCCGTTAGCATTGTGGTTTCTCTTTTTTTTAAGATAGAGTCTCGCTCAGTCTCCCAGGCTGGAGTGCAGTGGTGCCCTCTCGGCTACTGCGGCCTCTGCCTCCTGGGTGCGAGCGATTCTCTTACCTTAGCCTCCTGAGTAGCTGGGATTACATGCGTGCGCCACCATGCCCAGCTAATTTTTGTTTTTGTCTTTTTGAGACAGAGTCTCACTCTGTCACCCAGGCTGGAGTGTAATGGTGTGATCTTGGCTCACTGCAACCTCCACCTCCTGGGTTCAAGCGATTCCCCTGCCTCAGCCTCCCAGGTAGCTGGGATTACAGCCAGGCATCATCATGCCTGGTTAATTTTTTAGTAGAGACAGATTTTGCCATGTTGTCCAGGCTGGTCTCAAACTCCTGACCTCAGGTGATCTGCCTGCCTTGGCTTCCCAAAGTGTTGGGATTATAGGTGTGAGCCACGGTGCCCAGCCTAATTTTTGTATTTTTAGTAGAGACAAGGTTTTGCCATGTTGGCCAGGCTGGCCTCAAACTCTTGACCTCAGGTTGACCTGCCCGCCTCGGCCTGCCAAAGTGTGGGAATTTCAGGCGTGAGCCACCGCACCTGGCTTCCTTCCTATTTTTTTTTAGAAGTGGGGAGTCTCACTAGGTTGCCTAGGCTGGCCTCGAACTCCTGGCTTCAAGGGCTCCTCTTGCCTTGGCCTTCTAAAGTGCTGGGATTACAGGTGTGAGCCACTGCACTTGGCCACATCGTTTTCATTTTTTGGAGACAGAGTCTTGCTCTGTTGCCCAGGCTGGAGTGCAGTGGTGCGATCTCTGCTCACTGCAACCTTTGCCCCATGGATTCAAGTGATTCTTGTGCCTCAGCCTCCCGATTAGCTGAGATTACAGGCGTGCACCATCAGGCCTGGCCAATTTTTGTATTTTCAGTAGAGATGAGGTTTCACCATATTTTCCAAGCTGGTCTCGAACTCCTGACCTCAAGTAATATAGTCACCTCACCTTCCAAAGTGCTGGAATTACAAGTGTGAGCCACTGCATCTGGCCCAAGCACAGCTTTTAAGGCTACGCTGACTCTCTGTAAAATCCCCTTGGTTGCCTTGTCACCTACCTTCTCGGCCACTAACTCTTCCCAGGATGCAACTGCTGCCACTGTCTCCTCCATTGCAACCAGGAAGTAGGGTGGAAAAAGGCCCAAAATCTGGAGGTCAGAAATCAAGGTTAAAAGACTTAACTATGTGCCCTTAGACAAATCATGTCTCATCTTCTCTGCAGAAAGAAGATGATAGTCCTTGCCTTGGAGAACAGTGAAAGTCAAATGAAGGATCAGATGGGGAGAGAGTGTAGTAAACTCAAAAGTGCTGTAAAATTGTTTGGAATTCCTGCAATCCAATGAGTTATGACCACCGTGGTTATTTAAGAAGACTTAAAGGTCAGCAGAGCCAATGTTCTCTGGCCCAAATCCTCAAAAGGCTTGTTCTTGTTATGAGATGATATATATAAACTGGATTAGTGGGTCCTCTGCTTGCAATAAATCCTTGGGGATTTGAGAAAGTGGGTGTAGCCGGCTTGCTGGCTTCCCCTCCAGCATCCATGCCTTACCACCCCCTGTCCTAACAGAAACACTGTTTGGAGCCAGACACTTCGGGAGGCCAAAGTGGGAGGATCAATGGCGCCCAGGAAGTTGAGGCTGCAGTAAGCCATGATCACACCACTGCACTCCAGCCTGGGTAGAGCAAGATCCTAAAAATTAAAAGCCAACCAGCCAAACAAACAAAACCCTTATTTGGGTCAGGCATTCACCCAGTCTCGATTCAGAATGGGGACTCAGGGCAAACTGACTCCACCCTCAGCTCCAGGAGTGGGCCTCGCTGGTCAAAAATAATCTCTCCTCTTTTTAGTCATTGCTTCTGGCAGAGGTCATGTGACCCATTCTGGTCACTGGGTTGGTGGGGGATGTAAGTCAGAGAGGAAAATATCTGGCTCCTAATAAATTATCCCTGGAAGATATATCTATAGGTATCTATCTATCTACCTATCGTCTGTCTATCTGTCTGTCTATCTATCTGAGATGAAGTCTCACTCTTTTGCCCAAGCTGATTTCCTTTAGTTCAGGGGGATGGCCCTGCCTGTTTTCATGGCCCATCCAGTATTTGTGCATTTTTTTAAATGGTTAAATGAAAATCAGGCTAGGCATGGTGGTGGCTCTTGCCTGTAATCCCAGCAACTTTGGGAGTCCAAGGCGAGAGGATTGCTTGAGCCCAAGAGTTTGAGACCAGCCTGGGCAACATAGCGAGACCTGGTCTCTACATAAAAATTAAAAATCAGCTGAACGTAGTGGTACATGCCTGTTGTCCCAGCTACTCTGGAGGCTGAGGCAGGAGGATCATGTGAGCCCAGGAGTTCAAGGCTGCAGCGAGCCTTGAACATACTCACAAGAACCCTATAAGTTATTGTGTTATTATTATCCTGTTGTTCACAAAAGAGAAAGCTGAGGCTTGGAGAGGTTGTGTAATTTGTTCAAAGTCACATCGCTACCAAGAGGGTAGCTATTCAATGTCAAACAGGCTCTGAGACCAGTGCTCTTAATCACTTTGGGAAAAAACCCAATCTCCAGTGTCATTGTTAAGACATTGAGTCAACCAACCCTAAACCCACCTCACCTTTAGACTTCTAGGTTAAAGGGGCATATGACATTACTCTATTATCGAAGCCAGTTTGAGACTGCAATTCTGCTATTTGCAGATGAAAGCATCCCCTTGGATGCTGTGAGAAAGCACGTAAGAAAGGTAAGAGCAGAAAGGTAAGGCAAGCTATCAGCTTCTTGGACCAGCAGCCTTTTGTCCTTGCTTGGAGAATAAAAGCTTTCTTTTTCCAAGCCCTTCAAGGCTCCTCAAGTTCCCTTTAAAAGGGATTATGAAGGAAATCCTATTTTAGAATTGCTGCTGATTTTGGCAATTCGCAATATTCACCTGATGAGGAATTACACTTGCTAATAAAATATCTCAAGTTGGGTTGAGCCTAATTGTTGCAAGTGTTAGTAGTAATAGCCTGTCACGGGGACTCTTGTGCCGGCGCATCCCTCACTTGGCTACAGCCCATGTGGAAAATCAATTTCCTCTAAATGTTTGAAGAATGGCACAGAAAGACCTGATTTCTTTTCCCTCTGCTGGAGTCATTCTGGAGACAGTGAGCTTATAAAATGAATGAAAATAGCTATGGTTGCAGGATGCAGGGTGAATGCCGAGTTAAGCAAAGCCCGATCTCAAGCTCAAAGTTCTAGCTTTTTTGTTCTGAGGCCAGAGACAATATACGTTTGTGTCCCGAACTGATGTGCTGTTAAAAAGTCAAAGAAAAGAAAGAATTTTACTTCAGCCCAGCCATTTCACTTCTAGGAATCACTCCCACAGGAAAACTCCCACCAGTATGCAAGAATATACGAACAGGGTGTTCCTCACAGCCTGGTTTGCAATGGTGAAAAATTGGAAGCAAGATAATTATCTGACGAGAGTGGACTGGTTAAATAAATTGTCATATATCCGTGCTCCGTAGCCATTAAGAAGAAACAGGTAATCTATACGTATTCCTGTGGAAAGGTTTTTCTGATATGATATTGAGTTCAAAAAAAGCAAGTTGCAGACATCTATGTGTGTATATATATGTGCACTATATATATAGTATGTATAGTATATATAGTTGCAACTCATATATATAGTATGAGTTCATTTTTGTAAAAAAGCCCCAAAACTTCAACAATGATATGCACATTTATGTGTAGATCTTCGTACATGAGTAGAGAAAGGTCTGAAAGGATACACACCAGGTTGTCGATGGTGGCAGTTAAACCCAAGGATAAAAATGGTAAGATGAGAGATGCCCTT